CCACAAATATAAATAAGCAGAAGAAACAAAAAATATTTGACTAGCTGTAGATTAAAAAACCTCTTGCTTTCTGCCTTCAATAATGGACATTTTATTTGTTGTACTATACTGAGCAAACGGTAATAATACAAATACAGAAAATGTACACCTGAAATCAAACTCCCTCCTGCTATAAATTCCATCTCCACTTTGGATTGATCTGCTGAAACCATATATTTCTTAAAGATGCTACTTGAACATCTTGCTTTGAGACCAAAGCAAAAATCACACTTTTCTTTCTCGAATCTTTACAACTTCAAAGTCTATTAAGAGGATGCATCTCATAAATTTGATTCCACACTCCTTTTATTACACTTTCCAGAAACAGACATAGAGTAAAGGATTTCTTCTTATAATGTGAAGGAAAGACTTTTGCAAATCTTCCCAGTCCCCTGAGGAAAAGCTCGTAAACCTAAGGGTTTGACAACTTTGCCCACAGTGTTTTCAAAGAGCTCCACTGGAGGAAGCTTTCCTTGGTACTCATTATCTGATCTGTCCAAAGTTCACCTTTCTCACTGGAATGGGAAAAAAAAAAAGTGAGAGACAGATGAAAGTACGTTAGATGTTTTTGATTTTTTAAAAGTCTCAACAAGAGGCTTCTGAAAAGACAGAGGGAAGAGAAATCTTCCTTAAAGATGGGAAGAGAACACTATTTGGCAGGTTTCAAAAACAAAATCTCCTGCTTAACCCTTGACTGCAGCTGAATGTTCCAGATTCCTTCAAAGAGAACAATCCCATGAGGCTGCACGTACTAGGTATGTCAGAACATCAGGAATTTCAACTGAATGTAAATAGAGAAGTAGACTATCTCACCACAATAGACATGACAAGATACCTGCAGAAGAAACAGTTAAATGTCTAGTCAAGAAAAAATAGAAGGTGGTTACTCCTTTAATTTTCTGAAACCTATTGCTTTTAGTGGAACAAAGCAAGGTTATGCAACACTGAGAATCAATGTTCTGTAAATGTTAGAAAAATATGGATACTTTTCCTCAGAAAGGTAGAGTAGCAGTCTTGTCCAGATGCCACACTAAAGTTCAGGAATCGAACAAAACCACATCATCATTTATTTGCCTGAGAAGTTTCCATGATTTCTCCTTTTATTTAAGAGAAAACTTGAACACTACACTGGTAGTAGATAAAATGTGTATTTATACTACCTTTTTTTTAAAAAAAAATGTTCTTAGATAATGCAAATACAATTTGAAATCAAGCACAAAACTTGGCATGTACATACTGCTCATTGAGGAATACATGCTAAGTTAGGTCTGGTAAAGTCAAAAAATAAAATCTGGAAGAACCGGATGGAGAATAGTGAAAATAAGAGTGGAAAACGCAATTCATTTTTTTTTTTTTTTCAATCTCTGCAAAACAATTTGGGATTCTGAATATATTCCAGAAGATGCTGGATACAGAACTCTCAAACTGAACTCAGAGAACTATCCGTATCACCTAAAAAAACTCTCTACATCCATCTCCCTACAGAGTTCACTCTGGTTCACTGTTTCCTTTGGTGCTATTGTCTGCCATGGGGTTACCATCAGAGAACACTGGTAGGCAGTACTTCCCTCTAACATCTATTTTCAACCACCTAAATTGGTCTTCATAGGATTCCATTGTGCACACTGCAAAGAAACTTGTCTTGTTGCCAGCTAGAACTGTGAACTACATGTCTTTCTTTTCTTCACTGTTCTTTTTTGGTTCACAAGCAACCTCCTACCAAAAGCAGAATCCGCAGAAGAGACTACATCCAAGCGATAATGCAATGAAAAAGTATGAAGAGAAGCCCAGGTGGCCACCTTGCAAATTTCCAATGTGGAAGCCTTCGACCTCTCCGCCCAAGAAGCAGCTATAGTCCTAGTGTAATGAGCTTTACAAACCCTGGGAGCCTCTTTACCCTTAACTACATACGCCTCCCTAATACAATCCCTTAACCATCTAGCTAAGGAACTCTTAGAAGCCATTTGACCCCTCTTAAGACCCCCTAAGAGTACAAACAATCTGTCAGAAGATATGAAATCTTTGATTCTTCTGTGATAAACCCTAAGTGTTCTTCTTACATCCAATTTATGCAGCCATTGCTCTTTGTCATCGCTGGGTTTAGGGAAAAATGAGGGCCAAGAAACCGTCTGGTTTAGATAAAACTCAGATGCCATCTTTGGGACAAAAAAAAAAATTTAAAAAGAGGAACCATCCAAAGAACTACTTTGTTTCTGATGGAACTTTACACATGTTCTATATATCAAGATTGAAGTACTATGGGATATGCTGAACAAAAATCAACTAAAACTGCCATTGAAACAGCTATACACATAAACGCAACACTTGACACAAGCACATGAAAAAACGTTATTTTTGTTGCATCTCTGCGTGAGTTACACAGATAAAAAGGCTCCCGTGAATACTAAAAGCAACCAAAAATAAAAGGAAGCAAGTGCAAGGTTCCAATCTATCTGATGCCTAGGGAAACTTCAGCTCCCTTGGATATTAGCCTACCTTTTAGGAATTGGCCAGCTTCCCTTAATTTACCATCGGTCCTACTTGCAGAGGACTGATACTTCAGATATGCCTACACTGCAGTGACTGCAGGGAAGTTTGGATACACCCAACCTGGCTTTAAACCAGTCAGAGAGACTATGGGTAACTGTCCTTGCAACAGCAGCACACGGTTCAATCTGGGCTAATTTGCTCTGCTTCTTAGGCTGGTTGTACAGCCTGTGCTCCATTGCAAACCTGATACCGGTACCTGAGTTAATTTAAAGCTGCTTTGGACTGATCTGCACTCTATATTCTGTTAAATTAAACAAGATTTCTAGTAAGAAGGCTTCTAAATAAGTACAGAAGGTGGCCATTATATTTTCTAGTCACATACTATAATGATAATAAAGCAAAGATTCTAATAAATCCTTCTTATCAAAACTCAGCCTTCATCAGTGAAAAAAATAAGATTATCAGCCCAATATAGGACATTAACAGATAAAATCTTAAATCCCTTTTGGTACTTAACAGAACCTGGAACTACTGGGAACATAGCTCTCATTCTCCCATATCAAATCATCTTTCACTCCATCACTACAACTGAGATTTCTGACAATATGAAGTGAAAATAACACCAATAAATCCTTCTTCTAGACAGACTTTTTTTTTTTTTATTTCTCTGGCCATGACTTCTCTGCATGTATTCTCCTGAAACTGATAAAAAAGAACAGAATTTTGTGAATAAAATCACCTGATGAGAATAGAAACACTAAAAACAAAGGTATGTCTGATGACTTCACTAACATTACCTGTAAAAGATTTACCTTCACCTGTGTTCCAGGGTAAAAGTAATTTTGTGTTTTCTTTAGAACAAGCCTTCTACCCAGAAGACTGCCTCTTACAACAAGATCTACTAATCCTCCCCATTGAGATCTGATTAAGTAGAGGCACCATTTAAGAACCTACTTGCTATAGATATGATTACTCTAAAAGAATATTCGTCAAAGAAGAAGGCTTAACACACTTTTGAGAACAGTTATGAATGTAATTAAGCTTGGAGAAATGCCTGCAGGACAAAGTCCTAAATACACTTCCTGGAAAGTAATATATTTCTTGTTAACGTTGCAATCATTAAGTAGTCTGAATTACTGCAGATCACATGTCTTAGAGTGTAGTTAAACATGTCAAATTTCCCATTCAAGAATTTTTCTGCATTTTATCACAGAATATACAAATAAAAAGAACACTGAAAATTACCCTCACTGGATGTATATGCCCTATCCTCCACATCACTCCATGAGAAGTTTACTGCAACACTTCTTGGTAGGATCAAGGTCATGAAACGTGAAACATAGTGTATAATAGCTTAACATTTCGTGAGAATTAGTAAAAACTAAGAGATTAAAGGAGGCGGAAATACACTGAAACCAACAGCAAAAAATGGAACCTGAATGCAAATTTTATTTGAGCTTTGATGTATATTCTGAAAATACACAGGTTAACTTTTATTTCAGAGCGTGAGTATTCAGATGAAGAATGCATCAACATAATGTGTGCTTCAGAACTCTTCTTATTTAATATTTTTAAATTTTTTATCCATTTAGCATTCTGAGACCACATTCCCAAAACTCCTTTCTTCTCTGCCTGCAGCTTGACTACAGAGATATCAAATATTTGACTCCACCTACCCTCTCTCCCTAAGCAGCCTGGCCTCATTTCTGGTCTGATCCTTTCCCGCAATATAATCAAAGCTCTTGAAACCATTAGTTCTCTGGTGACCTGGAATCCTTCTACTGGCAGAAGCAGCCTAGTAGAAGGACATTTATGAGCATACTGTGACCTGCAAGGTCTTATTCACCGGAATTTTCAGCACTTCAGGTTCTCCTCATATGACATGAACGCAATTAGATGAAAAACAGAGTGAGCACCTATAGAATATCCACTGAAGGCAGCGGGATAAGCATGAGAGCAAACATAGTACCTATGAGGAATTGTTTGTGAGAACTATAGGTTAAAGCAGGACTATCTACTAAAACACTTATTTGCATGTATACTAAGAGCAAATAAACTGATATTCAAGTCAGTGTTTCTCTCTAGAATAAGGTAGTTTTCAAAGACAAGTTCAGAAAGTCACAGTTTCAAAGAATTCAGACTCCATGTATTTTTTGACCTACATGAAACACAAGATTTTATAGATAATCCCGTAGGAGATATCATGTTACAGGGTTTGATAATTTTTTATTATAATTCTCCATCAATAGCTACTGTGCATCACATCTTTACACATAACTATCAGTTCATTTTCCACAAGTCCTTTTGCTCAAATGTACATCCACATATTTAAAAAAGATTTTTAGTGGATATGGTCATAAACATGTTTATAAAATACGATGACATAAATTAGATAATTAATGTTGAAAATCACATAAAATCATCCTTTTGCACACAGTAGAATCAATAAATAAGGAAAAGTGTTAAATTACCTTGAACATTCTTAGTCTTCTCCGTCAATGATGGCACAAACAGAATTTCTGTGGAGAGCTCTTCAATTTTTTCTTCCATTAATAAAAAGAGTTTGGCAAGTTGAGAAAGACATTTGAGTTGATGCAACGTTAAACAGAAGTTCCTTCCTTTTTTGTGGTACTCTTCAGAGGCTGCTCAAGTAAAATCATAAAACACCTTTTACTATTGCTTAAAAAATGATCCTGCAAAACTGATTATGTAAAAAAAGTACAATATATCAGGTAATTTCATTTTTTTCATAGCAGAATATATCTTTTCCTCATTATAAAATACTGTAATGTTAGTTCCTACTAAATCTTTGGCATTTCTCAGCTATCTGGGAAGTTGTTGGGAACTGAATTCCAGGTTTTGTCATTCATTAACTAGGATTTTTTCCAAGCAACAGATCTACTCAGAAACCTTCTCACCTGTGTTTTACAGGAAAAAAAAAGAAAAAAACACTGTGTGGCAAAAACTGACTGAACAAAAGGAAAAAAACCCACGTCATTACTATATTTTAATGGTTTGGGACATCACATCACTACACTGTCACTCTGCAAGTCACCTTGTCTGTTTAACAATCTGCTAGCACAATACAGTTGATGAATATGACATTTGAGTGAAAAGAAACATCAATCTAACACTCCACAACTTTAAATACGTGGGGTTTTAAAACAAGTACGACTGTCAGTGAACAAATATCAGCAAGTATTATACCTATAAGCATTTGGTATTTAAAAGAAGAAACTGAACGCTTTATTTTGAAAGGTTAACACTTGTAATCATAACATATAATCATGTCACATCAACCAGGGAACTCTTGATTTGAGCACAGTCAAGACTATAAAAGACTGCGAGCTGTTTCCAATTCAGTATTACCAAACCACGTGGTTTTAAGTATTTTAATTTTATAACTTCTTTAAATGTAACAAATTTGCACTTCTATGCAAACTGCTGTGAGCTGATACCATGTTCCTATGCAGTTCTGCTGCAGATACAACATAAGCAGAACAGTTTATGTAGAATGTGTCAGAGTGAGAGCCAGAGTAGTTTGAAAGGGAAGCTCTGAAAGACGAAAACAAACAGAAATTGATTGAAATGCACTTTTATGTGTCAAATCTCTCTTACCTTTGCAATTTTGAAGTACTCAGTACTTCCCTTTTTCCTCAAAGTTCCTGGATATTTTTTTTTTACGTATTCACAAATCACTTTTAAATAGACATAGATCTAAGTAGCAGAGCTGAGCTCTGAATACAAATTTCCTAATTTACTATTCCAGTTTTGCAGCCTTAGAGATTGAACTGCGAGTTTTGCATCCACATCTGAATATCCTCAAAGTTCCAAACAGATGTATTCATGCTAGTCCCTTGCATTTCTAAGAATGGTAAAAGAAAGTGTTATGCATAATTGCCTCTGTTAGTGCCTTTCCTCTCTGAATAACAAGTAAATAATATCTGTATCACTGGATTTCCAATTTGAAGTCTTAAACTTCAAAAAAAAAGAGATGCTGTTATTCAGAGAATTTTTCTCCTTTACCTGAAAACTAGATAATATAAATTGAGTTTAACTGACATGAAATGACTGCCTGAGTTTGCGGACAGCCAGAAGTTACAGATCCAAGATGTAAGAACCATAAATCACATCATAAAAATCAATGGAACATTAGTTCTGTCTTGTATCATTTGAAAACTTTGAGATGCTCCTGCACCCTCTCTTGAGTAACAAAGAAACCTTCTAATTATTTGATTGCCCCAAGCGATATTGTCCTCATGAGACCAACAGGAAGTGGACCTTGAAGCCAAAGGTATACCACAGTAGTACAATTCTGGAATGTATCACCAAACTCAGAAAAAAGTCAAAACTTTTATTTTTACTTTTAGTGACCATTCAAAGTATATTTTAGCTGAAAGCTGAAGATACTAAGTTGAAATATCTCTCTTTTTTCATGCCATTAAGAAGTTGAGAGAACACTTTAATATATGACAACGCATATTATAGTGTATGCAAACAAACACATAACCATCAGAGCAAAAGCTTACTATTTAATACTACATGTGTTCTACAAATGTCTAGAAAAGCCCTTCAGGCTTTTTGGTTGTGAAGTACAGACAAAATTCTAGATGCTTGAAGGTAGGGAAGAATGCTGGGTTAATTTCATGGCCAACATAAAACTTTGATACAAAATTAAGAAATAAATGGAGGTAAGCATAGAGGAAATTCTGTCTTTGATAAAAAGGCATAAACATATGCGCTCTCATCTGGAAAGCAGCCAACCCTCACAGTCAAGAGGAAAGGAGGTAAGAGAACAGTGGGTTAAGTGCAGTCATGAAGGCCTGAAGCATGAAGTTGAAACCCTTTGAATCAGTCAGATTTGGAACTCATCAGAAACTTATTAACTATGGGCAGTGAGAATATAGTGATCCAATGCCACATAGTCATGTGCAAACCTCTGTGACCATATGGTCAAGATAAAGGCATTAGAAAGCAGAAAGGAAAGATGAGACCACCAAGTAATACATGTTATTCTTTGGGAATTGCTGACACTAGGGAAAGCAGGCTAAGCAATCATCTTGCACTAGAGTGTAAGGCAAAGAATCCTTAAAATGGGAGAATCAGGGAAATTGGAAGGGTACTTATTTTCAAGTTTGGTCTTTGACTTAGCAGAATGGATTAAGGCTGAAAAAATCTTTCCTAAGATCTGAAGGACATGCCACACTTGTTGAAGAACGAAACAGTCCATCTTAGCAGAGACCATTTGGCTGGTTTTATCCAGACAGAGGCATACGATTAGTCTTCAAGAAGGAGGAATGAGCACTCTGATCTAGCTGATAAACCACCCTGCTAAACCAGAAGTTAAGAGACAGACTACACTAGATCTCAAGTTTCTGTTCAGACCTCATCCAAACCTCATGACACAAAAATAAAATGACAAATGCATAGTGCTTTCCAAAGCAGCAGGAAAGCCTCAAATACTGGCAAATCTAAGGATGAAATATGGCCATTGTAGATATTACACACCTCAGCAGGTATATGCCTTCACTCGTATGCCCTAAGAGAAGGCACCAGTGCCACAACCCTAAGTAATAAAAGCTATTCATTGCAGGGGGTGGGGAAAAGGCCTTTTAGTAAAAAATGTAAAAATACACAAAACAAGCAGAATACTTCAGGTCCCACCATCCTCCAAATTAAGACAGTGTTAAGTTATGATAAACATGTGTCAATAATAAAGCACAAATCAAGTTTGATCTACAATTTTTATATAGCCTTTCAAAACAACCTAAGCTTCTGTTCTAACCCTGCCTTTGATGCAACCTAAACACTACTTTAGTTCTCAGCATCCTCATGAAAATGTTTTAAAAACTTAACATAAAATCTATGGGTCTTGCATTCTTTAATATACAATTAATTCAGGTTCTTGGGTAAATTTAAGACAAAACAGTTCTACCATCCATAAGGGAAAAAAATCTTCTGCTACATTTTCAAATGTTCTAAATCCAAATGAGTTTACTCAGCTGTTGTGTAATTTAGAACAGAAGATCCACTGTAACCCAGGTTATGGGTCCTCTTCCCCTATGCTAATTTGATGAATAACTCAAAATCTGAAATTCTTGCAATGTTTATCCCACAATTTCTTGCTTTTTTCCCTCCTTCCTCAGACTGCAATTTGAAGAACTATACAGAAAAGATTATGAAAGAACCTAGATAGAAAGAGCATAAGTAACATTGAGTGAAACAGTCAAGAGTCAGTAACACACATAGGGTTTTGCTGTTTCACTGCACTAATTCTGACATTTGGTTAACAGTTACTATATAGATGAGCACACAGTGCAAACATACCCTACAAAATGTAAGCACTCACCACAATTTTCAACAACCAGGTTTAGTGATACACTTATGAAAAAGATTAACTAGAAAACAGCAAAATTTGCATTTGTTTTTGTGCAGGTGAAGTTACACACACACAAAATTCAGACAGCTATTTATTTAGATTTTTGACAGCATTCTAAGGCCTCAGAACTTCCGAGCTTCCTTAAATTATTTTTATTCTTGTACCTTAGGTCTGAAATGCTAGACTGAAAACAAACGTAACTAGATGGCAAACCACTCTTTCTAGCAACAAACAATAAAAATGCATGACTCAACACTATTCTTTGAGTATGAAAAACACAATTCAAACAAGTAAATGGTGGCTTTACTGACATTTTTAATAGAAAATCCTAAGAACAGAGAGTAATAGAAAATTATGTTCACTTAGATTAATCATAAGAAATGTTAGTGTAAAAAATATATATAATTTGAAAAATTACAAGCACTTCAAGTAGGGGTGGCTAAGAAAAGAGAGTCTCTATATATCATAGGAGTATAGTATTGCAAGAGTAGCTATACTGGGTTCAGCTACAGAGTCTTTTATCTTAGCAGCCTGGGCTTGGACAGTGACTGAAAGAGGATTACTAAATAAAAATATAACAAGGAAACCATATACAGCATTTTTTTCCTCAGGTCTTACCTTGCAGTTGGGTAGCTCCCACAGACAGATGTGGCATACACTGATAATCTGTAGTGGGTTTCTATTTCATCAATCTCTCCAGTCACCCTTTCACCCCACGTAAATTTTTACCATCCATAAAACCTTGTGGAAAGAAGTTCCACGCTTTAGCTACACTCTGGGTTAACAAATATGTAATTTTGTTTGCTTCAATATTTCATCTTCTAGCTTCACCTGATGCCAGCTAGTTTTAAGAATCAGTCAACTACTGATACCTTTTTATTTTTCTAATGCTCCCCTTCATTTTATATACAGTTATCATATTCTACCATCTTAATTCTGTTTTGAAGAATTGGAGCTTTATTTTTCCTTATATGGAAGCTGTTCTACATTTTTCATCACCTTGTTGCCCTTCTCTAAGACTTTTCTGCTTTTTTCTACATCAACAACTAAAAAAAAAATATCCCTATATAGGATATATCCTAGTGAAGCAGAGACAGTACCAATAATGTACAAAAAGACACATAGGCATCACTAGTGAAATCAGGGACAACTTTGCAATACTAACACTTAAATTAATACCTCATCTTCTAATAAGAGAAATTAATACATTGTAGAGATAATTCTACTCAATATGAATTCCAACAAAAAATTAGCATGTCATTC